TGTCTTTTGCAGTGCTGGGACATTACCTGTTACTTTCCGCTGTCTGGAGGAAAATCTGGGCATTGACAAGAGAGTGACTCGATTTGTGTTGCCTGTTGGAGCAACGATCAACATGGATGGTACAGCGCTTTATGAGGCCGTAGCAGCCATCTTTATTGCCCAGATGAACGGAATAGAACTTGATCCTGGTCAGATCGTGACAGTCAGGTAAGACCAATGTCTGGAGAAAGAAATTAATATAAACTTCACAAAAATGTTATTCTGATTACATGTACCTTCTGATTCACTGTAGGCGGTTGCCTGGTAGCTATATACAATTAAAGGAAGATTTTACCCAAAAATTAAAATTCAGTAATTATTTCCTCATCTTCACATTGTACCAAACTTGTTTAGTGTTATTTGTTTCTGTTTAACAAAAACAGAAAAATCTTTACACAGTTTTTGCCACACAATGACAGTTCATAGTGATCATGTCTTCAAGCTATTATGATGATATAAAAAAAAACACTAGAGAAGAAGTCCATATGATTGTGCTCTGTATTCCTAATAGTATTCCTGGGTACATCTGGATCATTGAGTCAGAAAAGAACAGTACAATCTGATTTATGAAATCTATTAACTGGTTCTCGGAAAAGTGATTTATTTTATGAATTGGACTGAGCTGGTTCTCAAGTTCAGCTCTTTAACTCAGTGGATCAGGTAGCAGCTGCTAACAACTGATTAGCCTGAATGAATATCAGTAAACGTTAAACATTAATACATAATGGAAAGTAGCAGGTTAAACATAAAAACATTAAGGCACAACTCATTTTTGCCATCTACATTTTAGACAACAAAGGCTGCTATTTCATTACTTTCAACCTCAATGTTTTTAAGTTTAACAGAAAAGTGTTTGTTTTCCATCAGTAAGAAAACTGCAGTTTGTTTCTTAAGAGTTGTTCTCTTTTTTGTGAATTTTCAGTAAATATCAGTAAACGAAGAATTAAATGTCAATGTGTTTGTCACATAAAACTGTCATATTGTTTCAGAAGACTTGAAAATATATTATTATTTCTAGCTTGATAGATATGGTCACTATGAACTGTTGATACTCTTTGAAAGTTCTCTTTCTCAGTTCTACAGAAAAACCAAATCACAGCAAATGGTTTTGGACCGAGATTAGGGTAAATAAATAGTGACAAATTAGACGTTTTTAGCAAAACTATTAATAAAATCACATTACACCATTTTCAAAGGAAGAATGAGAGTCATGTGATATATTATTCTTAAAGTTTGCAGCTAATCTTATCAAATCAAATAATTACATTTTGTTTGTAGCCTTACAGCGACTCTCGCTAGCGTAGGAGCTGCCAGTATTCCCAGTGCTGGTCTGGTGACGATGCTTCTGATCTTGACAGCTGTGGGACTACCGACTGAAGACATCAGTTTACTGGTAGCAGTCGACTGGCTACTGTAAGTTAAACCAATCTCTCTCTCTC